TGCTAAGGCCTCCTCTCCGAGATCCATGCTTAAAAATTGCTTTACAGGTTCTTTCTTTTATCCCTACATATGTTACTCCCATTTCTGAAATTCCTCTATACTGTTCGGTGATAAAGAATTTTTCTTTTTTCTTTATTTCATCTGACTTTGTTCTATTTTTCCTCTGGAAGAGTGCAGTCCATCATCTGGAGGAAGTGCGCATGAAGGCTATACGTCTGGTACTTATTCGCAACTTGCTATTAGCTCAACAAATTAACCGTATGGTTCTAACTTTGTTTGCATGGGTTGCTTTGTCTAACAGGTTGCAAACAAGCTTTATCCTTTGTCATTTATTGCCCAACGGATAGAAGATTTCGCTATTGAAAAGTTGCTTTCTCTAAAAAGTTGTGATGCAACTGAAAAGATAGATGCTGAAGGATCGAAAAATGAATTACAGAAGGTTCTAATCTTTGCATTGTCAATGTGGGGTTTCTATCAAATATATTTTGTATTGTTGATATGAATCAGAGAGTTAACATTTAAGTGGTTTTCCCTCAGGATTCTGATTCAGGAAAACATTCCAATGAACCTCCATCAGTGAGTGGTAACAGTAAAGATATCTCCTCTGATAATCATCAGTCATGCAGTTCTCAAAATGTGTCATCCCTCTCAATTGCTGAGGCCCAGCGGTGTTTGTCATTGTATTTTGCTCTTTGTACAAAGGTGTTACTTTATCTTATAATCAAACGCTGAGTTGCTTTTAATGTCCATTAATTAATTATTAAAATATTCAATATTATTTTTATTGAAGTTAACATGATTGGTAAAACCTCAATGGCAGAAGCATTCCCTTTTTCGCCAAATATTTGTTGTTTACGGAAGCGCATCAAAGGCCGTCAAGCAGGTTTAGTTCTTTTTAATTTTATATTGATGTAGAAATTAGCATAGGGCTTGCTATTCCTTCCCCATGAGGAGGTTTTTCTTCTCATCAGTTATATGGTGCAGTGCAGGCGGTTCAACGCCAAATTCCAATACTTGTACGTACTATGGGATCATCACCAAATCTTCTTGAAATTATTTCTGATCCTCCAACTGGAAGCGAGAACCTCCTGATGCAGGTTTGTAATAACAACATTACAGTTTTGTCAGCACCATCCAATAACAAATAACATCTATAATCCTCTCTTATGTTTAATGGAATCAGGTTTTACATACCCTGACGGATGGAACAGTTCCCTCTCAAGAACTGATTTTTACCGTCAGAAAGCTATATGATTCAAAACTGAAGGTACATTTGTCATTTCTGTATGACAGTTGAAATTAAATGACACTGTTAGCTTATATTTGGTTTATTTTTTCTTTGGAAAATTAGCTTATATATTGTTGTTTATGAATGATTACAGGATATAGAGATTCTTATTCCAATTTTACCCTTTCTGCCGAAAGATGAGGTTCCATCCCTTTCACTGTCTTTTCATAATAGCACTATTATGTGATGTGTGTGTTTGTGTTTCTTGTCACATGCCTTTCTTGTTATAATATTTCAGAGTGGCTGAGGGTACTACACTGTTCCATCAACTACATTTTGTGCTCTTTTGATATAGCGTAAACCGTTTTTCTTCTTGGGTTAATATTGATAGGAAAGATAAATGGACTGGAAGAGACAAACAAGGTTTCTGTGTATGATAGAAATAATGCTGAAGCTACAAGAAAGCGATTACAAATTTATTCATGAATCTTAACTCTTGTCAATGAATATCTATTAAATTAAAGGAATATACTATAAAATGCTTTGGCGTTGATGCCCATAAAGGTGTCAATAACATGCTTCTCACCCGTAGAAATTAACTTACTCATCATCTAAGGTTATGTTATTTCTCTCTATCCACAATCCAAATAACTGGCATAATAGTAGATCTTAGTACTTTAAACACAATTTGCTATCTTGTACTTGGTATATTATGGATGAACCTTTCCAGCTCTTGTTACTTGCATTTGATTCTTTAGACTTCGAATGTTTATACTGATTTTAAGTCAGTTGGCTCTTTATTATTTTGGTGTTAATGATCTAATAAGCTTTCTTTTTTATAGGTTTTGCTTATATTTCCCCAACTTATGAATCTTCAACTGGATAAGTTCCAAGCAGCACTAGCTCGCATACTACAGGTATCTATGTTTCCTTGTTAACTCTTGGCAATTTAAGAATTCTAAGTGTAAGACTGTTCTGTTTCGTATGGGTCATTAGTTATTACAGACAATATGAGAAGATAATGCCATAATCTTTCAATGGTCCTTGTCATTTTCTGATACAATTGTGACCTCAAATCTTTTATACTATTGCTTTCCATACCACACTTTGCGATAAATTATTTGTAAGACCCTATTATCAGTATTAATTCCATTCATGAATGTGCATGCTATCAGATATTTCAATTTCCTTTGTTACAAATTTTCTGCATCATTCTTTGACGTGTTCCACAAAACCGAGCGCAATGGCTTTCTAGGATTCATATAGCCGACCCCACTTAGTGTGAAAAGGCTTTGTTGTTGTATTCTTTGACATGTTCATGATGTTTTCTTTCTTTTCATTTATTCGCACATGTTTCTCTACAGACATGAGACTTGCTCACCCAATCTAGAGACATACATTTTTAATCCTTCAGATGTTTTCACATGTAAATTTTGCTATTAATATGCTTGCGAAGTACTTCTATTATTCGTTGCTTCATCTTTAATCAACCTTGCACAGGGATCATCCCAGTCTGGTCCTCCTCTGGCTCCAGCTGAAATCTTGATTGCTATCCACGGAATTGATCCCGACAGAGATGGAATTCCACTAAAGAAGGCATGTCATCTTTTTTTTTTTCTTGGTTGGAAATCTCTCTGAGTGGCAATAATGAATGGCTGAATAATATTTTTTTGGTGAGCAGGTCACAGATGCATGCAATGCCTGCTTTGAGCAGAGGCAGATATTCACCCAACAAGTTCTTGCCAAAGTTTTGAATCAGTTGGTTTGTACCATTAGATATTTCCTTATCTTTCTTTTACACCGCTTTCAGGCAGAACTTAAAGATGATCAAGCTTCTTACTTGCAGGTTGAGCAGATTCCTCTTCCCTTACTGTTCATGCGTACGGTATTACAAGCCATAGGTGCCTTTCCTGCACTGGTAAGATCTGAATAAATCGTTATAAACTTAAACTGATGTAGGACAAGAAGGAAAATACATGCATTTTGTACCTTCTTTGGACTATGATTACTGATGTTTGTTTAACATGTGAGATGCATGCTGTAAATTGTTGAGAATTGAGGAAAAATAGGAAATTCAAGGAACAGCATGGAAGTATTAATAGAAATTACCGGCTTCACACTAGTGCGATTCTTGGTAGGAATCACTCCTTTACACAAGGAGCGCCTAGTCAAGTTGGACCACAACAATCCTAGGGCAAATCGTATGCTGCTGAGAAATTCAATCATATTCATCTCCCCTCGTTAAATGTAATTGGTCTGACACTGATATGTTGTCATCATAACTTATAGACAGAAAAAGTTATCTATTAATTAAATAAACTACGAGTTCGAGTAGTACAGCTGATTTTGCTTTTAGGGATAAGAAACTGCTTTTTTGGGATAAGAAACTGCATTTTGGGGAATAAGAAACTATAACATCTGTTACTGACTTGGCAAGTTTTTGTCAATAAATAACATAGGTGGATTTTATAATGGAGATCCTGTCTCGGCTTGTGAGCAAGCAGGTAAGTTTTCAGTTTCTTAATTTTGTTTCTATTCATTTATTATGTATGGCGTGTTTATGTGACTGATGACATGTTGTAGATATGGAAATACCCGAAGTTGTGGGTGGGATTCTTAAAGTGTACGTTCTTGACAAAACCTCAGTCATTTGCCGTGCTGCTTCAGGTGTGTCTTTGCTTTTAACAGTGTTGCTTCTTTATCCTTGCAATCTTTTATCACTACTTTTTGCACTAGAAGCCCGACTTTGTGAGTTCTCTCTGGCGATGCTTTTGAATGGATAATAAACTGCACGCTCGTTGGACTATTTTGTTCACTCGAGGGAAGAAAATCTAAAGTTAATATATGATGAAATTGTTTATCTTAAATAATCTATTTGGACTTTGAAACAAGTGTTCTTCACATCTATATGAGCCGATGGTATATAATTTATTGTCTCAGCTACCTCCAGCACAGCTAGAAAACGCACTGAAGAGAACTGCAGCTCTGAAAGGACCGTTGGTTGCTCATGCTAGTCAAACGGACATCCGATCTTCCCTTCCAAGGTGGATGAAAAGTCGCTTTTGTCTCATTTGACATTAAAGATCTCTAGAATGGGGAGGGTCAGCTCTGATGTTTGGATCTTTTTTTTCAGGTCGATATTGGTAGTTTTGGGAATTGTTTCAGATTCTCCGGCACAAACAAGTCAGTCTCAAGCCGTGGCACAAACAAGTCAGTCTCAAGCCACGGCACAGACAAGTCAGTCTCAAGCTGCGGCACAGACAAGTCAGTCTCAAGCTGCGGCACAGACAAGTCAGTCTCAGGCTGCGGCACAGACAAGTCAGTTTCAGGCTGCAGCACATACAAGTCAGTCTCACGCCGAGGCACATACAAGTCAGTCTCAGGCCGAGGCACAGACAAGTCAGTCTAAGCCCGAGGCACAGACAAGTCAGTCTCAGGCCGAGGCACAGTCAAGTCAGTCCCAGGCTGGGGATGCAAGCAACTCGGAAAACGACGCAGTCACAGAGAAACCAAAGGAGTCATCTAGTGCTAGTTGAACTTCAGATGGGGGATACCGCAGTAGTTCCGAACTCATAGCCATGTAAAACAAATTTACCGCATTCTTAGAATAGTTACAGTAAGAGAGATGCATACTAGGCAACATTCGATAGTGCACCAAAGTACTTTTGCTCATAAATGCTTTTCCTAGAAGTCCAAGTGCCTATTCATAAAGCGGTTCCATGACCTTTAAGCCCTTTTCAAGTTTAAACGTGACTACTAATAGTTAGAAAGCTTCCTTGAACTTGAAGCACTTTTTAAGTGAACACTGAAACATATTTTAAAGCAGTCCAAAACCGGCCCTAAGTTTGTTTCGCTGTTGCAGTTTATGTTCCAGTATTATCTTAAAAGCCTCGTTAATACAAAATAATCAAATCAAGAGATTACATGCCACCATTACACTGTCAAACAATGAACCAAACTATTTTCATAACGTTCCCAGAAGTTTCCGAACGCATTACACCCTATTTGAAACGTCGTCTAATTACAAACGAATTGGAGTTAATCGTACCATAAGACGGCCCTCGTAATATATTCCGATGTCAAATTTGTTGGCCTTGGAAGCAGTATAACAAAACGGATTTGGCCGGAAACTGCAGAATTTTAATTTACAAGAGCAGAAAACCTCTCGAGAAACGCTTCCACCAGACTTCTATCTGGTTTGGCCCGAGACAGATTGCAGCTATCCGTTACGTGACCTAATTACCAACGATATTGTCAACCAGAAACATGAAATCCATGCATTTGGAACCATTCAGCCATGTCGAATCTCTCCTGAAGCGTAGGTCTGACATCTTTTTGCAAGGAGAGCTGCTTGAGAAGCGGAAGCAGCACCTCCAAAAGCTGTATAATCGACATGACGGAATGAAAGGCAAAGAAGGGTGTAATCAGAGCATACTTCGGATAACTGTTCGTCTCTTTGTTTAAACTGTAAATAAATGCCAGCAGAAAATGGAACACACGGAATTCCATTCAACGGTTGCAGCAAAAAACTGAATGGGTTGTTGTCAACAATGACAATCCGAGAGAAATCTTTTGACAAACACGACAGATCTTTCACGTGTTCCCGACATTCCCTGTGGTTTACACAAGTTCGAACATCATTTCTTGATCACAGAATTGCACCACATGAAGAGGGGTTCCATCCAAGGAGAAATCGGACTTACGTGCTAACTCTAGAAGCCCGATAAAGGCGAAGCTGAAACAGATTCTCCACATCAATTCTGTCAACAAGTGGTCTAGCATAATCTGTATGGAGTCACCAAAGTAAAATAACAAATCCGAAATAACGAAACAACTAAACAGGACAAAAGGAGATTGTGAAGAAGGGGAAACCAACTAACCTTCAAGACCAGCAGTGAATATTGCAAGATCAGCAAACTCAGAAACCCGTTTCAAGAACTCTCGCAAACCAGGACGTTCAAACACTGTCACGTAATTGATCTTCGGTTTACCATCAGACTCCTTCAACCCAAAGAATTATCATATCGAACACAATTTCAGATGGCACACAAATTTCAGCGCAAAAGTTGCGGAGAAAAGAGCGATCGATCGATCGATCCACTACCTTCTCTGAAGATAGACATTCTATCTCAAACCACTTCATCCCAGCTTCCGTTGCTTGAGCGCGAACAATTGCAGGCACACTACATGTCTCATAAGCACACACTAGAGTCTCATCCAAATCAAGAACTACCTACATCACAAAATCCATTAGTAATTAAAACCCGTCGCCTGGAAAAACTAGCATATTCATGTCATTTGAACAAAGTGTCGTCAAATTTTTGCGCCAAGCATAAACTTCAACCTTAACAACTCGCAAAATTATGTTTGGATGTGCTTTTAAAATGACTGAAAACGTTTTTGGTGAAAATGTTTTTATAACCAATTATTAGTAAAGATGCAAGTAAATCCTAGAAAAACACTTAAAAATGCTTCCTGGAAGAAGCATATAACTGGTGCTTCTTGTATAAAACAATTTTGCGTTCTTTTGAAATCCAAAAATATTTTCTCTAAAAGTGCTTTTAGTCATTTTAAAAGCACATCCAAACGAACCCTACTATAGAATCCTCAAAGTGCTTTTAAAATAACGGAAAACGTTTTAGTAAAATTGATTTTGGGTTATCCACTTGGATTTTTACCAGTAGTTTTAAAATTACTTCCAAACCCTATTTTGCTTTACATAAAAATTTCATTTTTTGCAAATAACCCAGAATTTTTTTTTTTTTTTTGATAAAGCAAAGCAAATAATCCAGATTATGATTTCGCATTATTAACTACATCCGAGCATATTTCCGTTGAATTACTCGAGAAAGAAAAAGGCCAAAAAAATCAACTTCCAACTGGAAAAATTAATAACTGATAATAAATCGAGGAGATGGTGATTGAAGAAGCTCACCGTGAGCTTTTCGACGGGGCGACCATCCAAGACGCCGTTTTCGACGTGGGCGGAGGACGACAAGTCGTTGAGAGGGACTTCGGCTACGGGCAGAGGCCTGAAAGCAGGAGAAGAAGAGGAAGAAATGCAGGACAGCAGGTGACGTAGGCAAGGCGCGCCTCTCAGGATCTGAAGAATAATCTGGTAGAAGAAGCCCACCCAGTTCACGAGACCCCGCCATACTTGAAGGGTCATCGGCACGTACACTTCGGCGGCGGCGGCGGGGCCCATCGGCGGCATAGCAGCAGCCCAACTCCGACCGGTGACTGAATGCGATTCTAGCTTAAAGAGGCAATGATGATGGACCTTTTCCTTTTACCTCGACAAACCATGGCTGCTTCGTATATTTCATTTTTCATTAAGTTTTGACCAGGTTTATTAGTTTTTCTTTTCCAATTTTTTGGGAGAGAGTCATTGTGCGTCGGATGAAATGGCGAATATTCTTATCATCTTTAAGTCACTTACAAATTATCATTATTTAATCAGAATGCAACTTTACGTAAGTAAATCATTATTCGGCCAATTAGGGGTGGGCACGGTGCGGTTCGGTGCGGTTCCACTTCTAAACTGGAACCGAAACCGAAATATATTAACGGTTCAATTCGGTGCGGTTCCACTTAAATTTATTACTAGAACATTACGGTTCGGTCTACACCGGTTCCGATTCGGTTCTTACCGGTTTACGGTTCCTAATAATAAATTATTTGAACACCAAATCATTATGCATTCAAATACATCTTCTAAAACTGATTATATAAAGTTGCATACAACACATCTTTTTTAATGCAAATGTCTTTGGTAGCGGCACCAAGTCAACAAAAAGAGACAACTAAAATACATATGCACTGGTCAATCAGTCAACAAACAAAAAAATGATGAAGCAAATTGCAGGTTTTCAGACTTCAAAGAGCAAGCAAGAAGCAGCAGCTCCTGTACACAATTTTTTAACCTATTTTTCAACCTATTTTTCAACCTATTATACCATGACATGTGTGTGTGTATATAATTTATTTATTTATTATTAATAAAACGGTTCGGTTCGGTTCGGCCGGTTCTTGGTCATTCGAAACCGAAACCTGAACCGGTTTGAACGGTTCGGTTCGGTTTTTCACTCAAAGTTGACTTTTCCGGTCAGCACGGTTTTTTTCGATTTTTTTTCTTACGGTTCGATGCGGTTTTGCGGTTTGGCGGTTTTTATGCCCACCCCTACTGCCAATGAGTCCTTGAAGAAACCAAGCAACTTTCACTTTAGTGGGTCGTGACTCTGATTTTTTGGATGCTAATAGTTTTTCTTCGTGTAATCTTTAAGTTTTTTTTTTTCTTTTCATTTTGTAATCTAAAAGCATTAAAATCTTGTTGGTATGATCTCGCTTTAACAAATCGGTTCTCATGGCGCTTTGAATGTTTTATTTTAATACAACTTACTATTCAGATGTTGAAAGCTATTAAACATGCTACTTTGAATGTTCTGTTTTAATACAACTTCTAGTCTTCTACTTTGTAATATGTTTTGAATGGAAATAACCACTTAAAACAACAAATCATTGTGTCTTTTATAACTATTGTCTACGATAGTTACATGTACTTAATACAATTATTATCTCACGATTAGATATAATTAATAAAAAGATATATTTAATATTAATTCTCTTACTATAATTACCATATAACCGTTGAAATAATAATTGTATTAAATACATGTAAGTATTGTAGCTCCGACTGCTGACATAGCGTTAGGTTATGCTCATTCCCCAGATACTGGCATTGCTTCTTCTTTGGGAAAAGAAGTTCACGACCCGTAGGCCTTCTACCTCCACACAGCATTGCTCTGTCAGGCTTTCACCCATTGCGAAAAATTCCCCATCGCTGCATCTCGTAGAAGTCTGGGTTGGGGGTTAGTCGACGTTGATTCATCATTTTTAACTTTTCTAATTCAAAATTGAATGTGAGACATTCGGCTTTTTTATGGAAGATGTATAAATTCCTATACTAAGACATAAACGAAAAAAAATTCCACCAATAACATCAATTGTTAGCTTTTTTGTCTGAATGTATTCGGAACAACCCGCTTTCTAAACGATTCCTACAGAAAAGAGGGGATTATATTATAACAACCATATTAAAAAATTTATAAAATGATTTTGATTTTTATCCAATCAATCAACTCAATTTCATATTACAAAAAAAAAAAAAAAAAAAAAAAGAGTAAGTAGGTGGGCCTTAGTTAATAAATAAAAAAGTCCAACACAATAAGGCGTGCGCACGACGGCCCACATCGGCCCATTTCGTATAAAACGGTTGTTAGTGTACGACTCGTCGCTCACGTCACAGCACCGGTCCCTTTTCGGAACTCCGGCCAGAACAGGAAGCCCCAGGTTTTGCATCAAAACGCAGCGGTTTAAGAAGAAATCCTCTCAGACTTTTGTACCAGAGAGAACTGAACACACAGAGGGAGGAGAGAGAGAGAGAGAGAGAGAGGAGAGAAGCATGGGGGTCGATTACTACAAGGTTCTGCAGGTAGAACGAAGCGCCAAAGACGATGACTTGAAGAAAGCTTATCGGAAGCTCGCCATGAAGTGGCACCCAGATAAAAACCCTAACAACAAGAAGGCCGCTGAGGCCAAATTCAAGCAAATCTCGGAAGCCTACGATGTACGTTAATGTTAATCTCTCTCGATTTCAATTCTATTTTTGAAAATTCCCAAAATTCTCAAGTTTTTTGGCTGAGATTTGTCGCAATTTTTTTGTTCCGATCGAATTGTTTAGGTTTTGAGTGATCCCCAAAAGAGAGCAGTATACGATCAGTACGGGGAGGAGGGGTTGAAAGGAGGGGTGCCGCCGCCCGATTCGTCATGGTCTGGCGTGCAAGGGCAGGATGGCGGTCCGACGACGTTCCGGTTCAACACTCGGAGCCCTGACGATATTTTCTCTGAAATTTTCGGGTTTTCGAGTTTTGGAGGGATGCCGGACATGGGCGGGTCAAGGGCAGGCGGGTCGAGGGCTGGCGGGAACCCGTTTCCGAGGAGTATGTTTGGGGAAGACATATTTGCTCAGTTTAGAGGCGGAGCAGAGCCTTCTGCAGCTGCGCTGAGGAAAGCTGCACCGATAGAGAGGACATTGCCTTGTACTTTGGAGGATTTGTTTAAGGGCACCACCAAAAAGATGAAGATTTCTAGGGATGTTCCTGATGCTAGTGGGTAAGATTTTTTGTCTCTGTGGGCATTGTTTGATTCTACAAATCTGAATGGGTTATTGTCAACAATGACAATCCGAGAGAAATCTTTTGACAAACACGATAAATCTTTCACGTGTTCCCGACATTCCCTGTGGTTTACACAAGTTCGAACATCATTTCTTGATCACAGAATTGCACCACATGAAGAGGGGTTCCATCCAAGGAGAAATCGGACTTACGTGCTAACTCTAGAAGCCCGATAAAGGCGAAGCTTAAACAGATTCTCCACATCAATTCTGTCAACAAGTGGTCTAGCATAATCTGTATGGAGTCACCAAAGTAAAATAACAAATCCGAAATAACGAAACAACTAAACAGGACAAAAGGAGATAGTGAAGAAGGGGAAACCAACTAACCTTCAAGACCAGCAGTGAATAGCGCAAGATCAGCAAACTCAGAAACCCGTTTCAAGAACTCTCCCAAACCAGGACGTTCAACCACTGTCACGTAATTGATCTTCGGTTTACCATCAGACTCCTTCAACCCAAAGAATTATCATATCAAACACAATTTCAGATGGCACACAAATTTCAGCGCAAAAGTTGCGGAGAAGAGAGCGAGCGAGCGATCGATCCACTACCTTCTCTGAAGATAGACATTCTATCTCAAACCACTTCATCCCAGCTTCCGTTGCTTGAGCGCGAACAATTGCAGGCACACTACATGTCTCATAAGCACACACTAGAGTCCCATCCAAATCAAGAACTACCTACATCACAAAATCCATTAGTAATTAAAACCCGTCACCTGGAAAAACTAGCATATTCATGTCATTTGAACAAAGTGTTGTCAAATTTTTGCGCCAAGCATAAACTTCAACCTTAACAACCCGCAAAATTATGTTCGGATGTGCTTTTAAAATGACTGAAAACGCTTTTGGTGAAAATGTTTTTAGAACCAATTATTAGTAAAGATGCAAGTAAATCCTAGAAAAACACTTAAAAGTGTTTCCTGGAAGAAGCATATAACTGGTGCTTCTTGTAGAAAATAATTTTGGGTTCTTTTGAAACCCAAAAATATTTTCTCTAAAAGTGCTTTTAGTCATTTTAAAAGCACATCCAAACGAACACTACTATACAATCCTCAAAGTGTTTTTAAAATAACGAAAACGTTTTAGTAAAATTGATTTTGGGTTATCCACTTGGATTTTTACTAGTAATTTTAAAATTACTTCTAAAACCCTATTTTGCTTTACATAAAAATTTCATTTTTTGCAAATAACCCAGAATTTTTTTTTTTTTTTTTGATAAAGCAAAGCAAATAATCCAGATTATGATTTCGCATTATTAACTACATCCGAGCATATTTCCGTTGAATTACTCGAGAAAGAAAAAGGCCAAAAAAATCAACTTCCAACTGGAAAAATTAGTAACTGATAATAAATCGAGGAGATGGTGATTGAAGAAGCTCACCGTGAGCTTTTCGACGGGGCGACCATCCAAGACGCCGTTTTCGACGTGGGCGGAGGACGACAAGTCGTTGAGAGGGACTTCGGCGACGGGCAGAGGCCTGAAAGCAGGAGAAGAAGAGGAAGAAATGCAGGACAGCAGGTGAGGTAGGCAAGGCGCGCCTCTCAGGATCTGAAGAATAATCTGGTAGAAGAAGCCCGCCCAGTTCACGAGACCCCACCATACTTGAAGGGTCATCGGCACGTACACTTCGGCGGCGGCGGCGGGGCCCATCGGTGGCATAGCAGCAGCCCAACTCCGACCGGTGACTGAATGCGATTCTAGCTTAAAGAGGCAATGATGAGGGACCTTTTCCTTTTACCCCGACAAACCATGGCTGCTTCGTATATTTCATTTTTTATTAAGTTTTGACCAGTTTTATTAGTTTTTCTTTTCCAATTTTTTGGGAGAGAGTCATTGTGCGTCGGATGAAATGGCGAATATTCTTATCATCTATAAGTCACTTACAAATTATCATTATTTAATTAGAATGCAACTTTGCGAAAGTAAATCATTGTTCGGCCAATGAGTCCTTGAAGAAAACAAGCAACTTTCACTTTAGTGGGTCGTGACTCTGATTTTTTGGATGCTAATAGTTTTTCTTCGTGTAATCTTTAAGTTTTTTTTTTTCTTTTCATTTTGTAATCTAAAAGCATTAAAATCTTGTTGGTATGATCTCGCTTTAAAAAATCGGTTCTCATGGCACTTTGAATGTTTTATTTTAATACAACTTACTATTCAGATGTTGAAGGCCACTAAACATGCTACTTTGAATGTTCTGTTTTAATACAACTTCTAGTCTTCTACTTTGTAATATGTTTTGAATGGAAATAACCACTTAAAACAACAAATCATTGTGTCTTTTATAACTATTGTCTACGATAGTTACATGTACTTAATACAATTATTATCTCACGATTAGATATAATTAATAAAAAGATATATTTAATATTAATTCTCTTACTATAATTACCATTTAACCGTTGAAATAATAATTGTATTAAATACATGTAAGTATTGTAGCTCCGGCTGCTAACATAGAGTTAGCTTATGCTCATTCCCCAGATACCGGCATTGCTTCTTCTCTGGGAAAAGAAGTTCACGACCCGTAGGCCTTCTACCTCCACACAGCATTGCTCTGTCAGGCTTTCACCCATTGCGAAAAATTCCCCATCGCTGCATCTCATAGAAGTATGGGTTGGGGGTTATAGTCGACGTTGATTCATCATTTTTAACTTTTCTAATTCAAAATTGAATGTGAGACATTCGGCTTTTTTATGGAAGATGTATAAATTCCTATACTAAGACATAAACGAAAAAAAATTCCACCAATAACATTAATTGTCAGCTTTTTTGTCTGAATGTATTCAGAACAACCCGCTTTCTAAACGATTCCTACAGAAAAGAGGGGGATTATATTATAACAACCATATTAAAAAATTTATAAAATGATTTTTAGATTTTTATCCAATCAATCAACTCAATTTCATATTACAAAAAAAAAAAAAAGAAAAGAAAAAAGAGTAAGTAGGTGGGCCTTAGTTAATAAATAAAAAAGTCCAACACAATAAGGCGTGCGCACGACGGCCCACATCGGCCCATTTCGTATAAAACGGTTGTTAGTGTATGACTCGTCGCTCACGTCACAGCACCGGTCCCATTTCGGAACTCCGGCCAGAACAGGAAGCCCCAGGTTTTGCATCAAAACGCAGCGGTTTAAGAAGAAATCCTCTCAGACTTTTGTACCAGAGAGAACTGAACACACAGAGGGAGGAGAGAGAGAGAGAGAGGAGAGAAGCATGGGGGTCGATTACTACAAGGTTCTGCAGGTAGAACGAAGTGCCAAAGACGATGACTTGAAGAAAGCTTATCGGAAGCTCGCCATGAAGTGGCACCCAGATAAAAACCCTAACAACAAGAAGGCCGCTGAGGCCAAATTCAAGCAAATCTCGGAAGCCTACGATGTACGTTAATGTTAATCTCTCTCGATTTCAATTCTATTTTTGAAAATTCCCAAAATTCTCAAGTTTTTTGGCTGAGATTTGTCGCAATTTTTTTGTTCCGATCGAATTGTTTAGGTTTTGAGTGATCCCCAAAAGAGAGCAGTATACGATCAGTACGGGGAGGAGGGGTTGAAAGGAGGGGTGCCGCCGCCCGATTCGTCATGGTCTGGCGTGCAAGGGCAGGATGGCGGTCCGACGACGTTCCGGTTCAACACTCGGAGCCCTGACGATATTTTCTCTGAAATTTTCGGGTTTTCGAGTTTTGGAGGGATGCCGGACATGGGCGGGTCAAGGGCAGGCGGGTCGAGGGCTGGCGGGAACCCGTTTCCGAGGAGTATGTTTGGGGAAGACATATTTGCTCAGTTTAGAGGCGGAGCAGAGCCTTCTGCAGCTGCGCTGAGGAAAGCTGCACCGATAGAGAGGACATTGCCTTGTACTTTGGAGGATTTGTTTAAGGGCACCACCAAAAAGATGAAGATTTCTAGGGATGTTCCTGATGCTAGTGGGTAAGATTTTTTGTCTCTGTGGGCATTGTTTGATTCTACAAATCATTTTCCTATTTATCTGTCTTAGCAATGCTATTGTCTGTTAGTTGTTAATATGCTTCGTATGACTGTCGTTGCTGTTCATAGTAATGTGACTGCTATCTGTTAGCTATATCTGACTTCTCACATCTTTCAGGTAACATTTTTTGGTTCAGGTATTTAGAACTCTAGGTTATATCTCTGTTGGTTTGTGTTATTCTTAAATGTAAGTATTGCATCGTACTTTCTTTATTATCCTTGCTTGCGAATGTATGATCCTTGCTAGAAAAGTATTGCATCGTATTTTGTTTACTACCCAGAGGCAGGAAAGATGTGGATAAAAGTATTAAGGACTATGTTATGACTAGTGATGTGGGTACTTGTTGGCTTGTGGGTCTTATCTTGATCTGGGGGTTGTCTAAGTCTCTAACTTCTATTGTTGTCTCGTTTCCCCACATGATAGCTCTTCTCATTTGATTAAAAGTATCATTATTTGAGCAGGAAAGTTCTTGTCGACAAATTGCACAAAACATCAGTATGTATCAGTCTTGATATATCACTGGATGTGCATCTTTTTATTCATCTCATTAACTAAAATTAGTTAATAGTGCTACCTAAATGTGCTAAATCTAGATTATGGTTCTTTCCGGTGCTAACCTTATAAGGTCCTTCGTGAAGCCCCGTCTTTCTAGACTTTAGCTGTCATCCTGACCAAGGTGTCTCATGGTTTCCAAATATAGGATAACTAGAAAATTTGCGTACATCTACTTAGGAATTTGGCTATGCGTATATACATAGGAGCTTTGTGTAGATGTTTCTTGTTGAGTAATGCTTTACCTGATAGTCAATGCTGATGAAGATATAAACTAAAGATTAACTGACTGACTAAGCTGTAATGCTTACTATTTCTGTTTGAAGTTTTTATGTTCTAATCTCCACTATATCCTTGATAATCATCTCAGACAACTTTACCTGTCACCTGTAACTCACGTTTGAAAGCCACGACGTCACATTATTTCCTTCTTTGGGATTGCAAAACTTTTGGAAAGCAGTATCGAATAGTCTTCGGCATTTTTTAATTTGGAATAGTCAACCTCATAGCACTTATGAACGTATATTTCCTGATATTTATGTATTTGGTGTCTTTTATTGTCTCACAATCAAGACAGTCAACCAAAAATGATGCAGAGTACTACATGGGACTTCTATACTTGAATATCTGGCAGCAGATAGGGAATCCAAGGTGCCCAAATAACTATAAGATAGTGTGTGCTCATTCGTGCTTATTAATGATGGATTCCTTTGTCTGCTTATATAGTCAAGTTTTGCACTGTTGCCTATATCATTTACTACGATAGGCATACTAAAATGTTTAGACCGTAGTGTAACATATCTATATACCCTCTTTTGCGGGTGCAAATGGCTTTATGTTAAACTTCTTGAGACTTTCTGCTAGTGTGATTGTCTATGGTTTGAGCCTGGGAGGTCCACGCTTACATATGGTTTGTGGGGCAGTGGTAAATCGTAAAATTTTAGCATTGGGGTGGCAGAAATGTCTGTTGGTTTAGTGGTAATCGTAGTTTTGCTGATTGGAAGGATGAATATTTGCTTAATCTAATACATGTTGATGTCAGAAAGAAACTCTTTGGGAGGTGCCGTGGCTTTAGCTGCTTAGCATGATGATCTTGTCCTTGGTAATGTTATTGTTTATGTTCCAGATGTCGAATTGGCACCTTTTGGATCAATTTAATTGACTAGAGGTAAAAGTAATGAAAAACGATATACATTAGCAAGTCCGTGTTGGATCCATATGCTATTTATTCTTGTTTCCTTTTCTTTGTTTACAGGAGAACTACCACGGTGGAGGAAATTCTAACAATTGAGATCAAGCCAGGGTGGAAAAAGGGCACAAAAATCACTTTCCCAGAGAAAGGGAATGAGCAGAGAGGGATCATACCAGCAGACCTTGTATTTATCATTGATGAGAAGCCTCACACCCTTTTCAAGAGGGATGGGAACGATCTTACAATCACTCAGAAGATATCTCTTGCAGAAGCTTTGACAGGTTACACGGCACAGCTGACAACCCTCGATGGGAGAAATTTTACAGTCCCCATCACCAATATCATCAGTCCCACCTATGAAGAAGTGGTTAAAGGGGAGGGGATGCCTATTCCCAAGGAGCCATCCAAAAGGGGAAACTTGAGAATCAAGTTCAACATCAAGTTCCCTACGAAGCTTACCTCGGACCAAAAATCCAACATCAAACGGTTATTAACATCTTAGTGAAGGCCAATGGTAGCCTCTCCCGTCCATCCCACTGAACTTGTGAAAGCTTTGCACTCGTTTGCTTTCTTAGCTTTTTTATCGGGTTTGGAAATTCATGCCTCGTCGAATGAGGGTTTGATGTTTGATCACAACATTTGAGTAGGAGGTTATGTTGATTTCCACATTCCTCTTGTTTTTTGTTCAATCTTTTTCTTTACTATGTAGAAATGCTGGATAGACTTAAATTTTCACACTTGAAATTTGTAATCTATTTGTTGACGGCTTTATGTATTTCCCCATAATTTTCAGTGGATTTTAAAGGTTGTCGGGAACTCTGTTGCGCGCTTGTACTGTGGAATATTGTATACCCTCGCTATGCCAAACCAAATGTTTACATCCAACTTCAATAAAAATCTTGGTCAGGTTTACTTTCCATTTAGACTTTTGCTTAAGTTTCCAGCGACACTAGTTAATATGATCGAACATGTCACTGTGGCCAAACTAGGTTGATTTAAGACTCTCACCAATAATGTTATCTCGTCACTATTTTCGATTTTTAGTACGTGACGTAGTTGGATCCCAATTCTTTAGTGACATGTGACTTACGTCTACACGTTTAAAGAATGCAACAATTTTGCCCATCCATATTTTTTAACGTGCAAGTGTGCAGAAATCAATTGCCTTAAAAAATGATAACAAAAAGAAAATATCGGCAACTAGGATGAGCAAAATCTTCAAACCAAGCTCTTGCCTCGCTAGGAGCCTTTAAAGAGGAGCGCCTCACAAAAGTCAACACATATGGTATAAAGATATGCATCATCTTGTCTCCGACATTATTCTTCAACGATACCTCCTGGTGTAAATGGATCATCATTATCTTTCTTTTTTCAGTCGTTCTGATAAAAAAAATGAATTGGTTCGTTTCGTTATTCTATCCACACAATTCTCTATCTTCATTCGTGACTATGTTGGGTGAAAAAATCTGCAAGCCAATCTCTGGATGTTGTGAATAATGACCAAAAAAAATTTCATTGGGCAATTTCGATAGAAGATTTCGCCTAAATTCCCAAATTATCCCACAATCCTAATCACTTTTGTTGTGCACTCTCTGTCACGATCCAATATCACCAAGGCAAAGGCAAAAGGCAAAGGCAAAGGCAAAGGCAAAGGCAAAGAGGCAAATTGTTTTTCCAAAATACTAAATTACTTTTCCTTTCTCATCAAAAAAAAAAAAAAAGAGTGAACCCTCGAGGAAGTTGGTCTGGTACCTTGTCTCGGAAGTCTTGCGAAAATACCCTTTTGCCCCTCTGATTTTGCAAATTCCATCCGCCACTGTGACTGCTCTGTTTTCCTACGTCTGATCAATAATTGAGCTCACTATATAAATATGAAACCTCTTGAAGCTTTAGTCACAGCGCAGAGACTTTAGATCAACAGAAAATCCAACGGTTTTGATTGAGCAGAGAGAAACCTGAGAGAGAGAGAGAGAGAGAGAGCAATGTCCGTCGATTACTACAAGCTTCTTCAGGTTCAACGAAACGCCAAAGACGACGACTTGAGGAAAGCTACCGAGGCCAAGCTCAATCTAATCAAGGATGCCTACGAGGTATGTGATCATTCGGATTTTAAATTTCTTTTTCCTAGTAAGCGATATTCTAAAGTATTCTAATTTGTTGGCGGTGTAGATGGTCTTTGTTGATGCTGTTTCTTATAAAAACACTTATGTTCATAAATGCTTTCTCATGTAAAGATGGTCTTGTTTGAAACTATTTATGTAGAAAACAGTTTTATTTGTAAGTGCTTTTATTAGAAGTGATTTTAGTAAAGCCCGTGTTAAAACATTTCAAGCACTTGGAAGTGGTGCTTTCTTCATGAATCAAAAGCGCCTTTAGTTGTAGTATGCAGAATGGGCAGGAACCGCTGCAAATTACGATTTTAGTTTATTCTAACTAAAATTGGCAAATTGAAATTTGTTGTTAATTATGGGTAAATGGTCAGGTTTTGAGTGATCCCAGAAAGCGAGCGGTGTACGATCAGCAGGGCGAGGAGGGTTTGAGGAGAGGGGCAGCGCAGCCTTCTCATTCACCCGGGTCTGGGGCATGAACGGCAGGTGCCCTGACCCATTCACGCAGTTTTTCGGGCCAGGACCGGCAGGTCTAGGGTTACGGAGTCCGTGAAACCGGAAGACATATTCTCGACGTTTTACGGCGGAGGGACGATAGGGGGAAATGGATTCCAGTCGTTTGCATGGACGGACTCAGGACCTGGAAGTGGGCCGAGGAAAGCCGCGGCGATTGAGACGACATTACCTTGTACTTTAGAGGAACTGTATAAGGGCGCCACCAAGAAGCTGAAGATTTCTAGGGATGTTCTTGGTGCTAGTGGGTAAGTCCCTCCTTCCCTTTTTTCATGAATATATATTTTTTGTTTAATTTTGTGATCTGGGAAGTACTTGTTTTGGTTGCATGATCTAATAGAAAGGAACTTTGAAGTACATTTAAATGTTCTTTTTTTATTTGGTGCAGAAGAAAAAGCACAGTGGAGGAAGTTCTAACAATCGAGATCAAGCCAGGGTGGAAAAAGGGCACAAAAATCACTTTCCCAGAGAAAGGGCACGACACACGGCGAGGTGTGATACCAGCAGACATTGTCTTCATCGTCGATGAGAAGCCTCACGGTGTTTACACGAGGGACGGGGACGATCTGATTGTCACTCAGAAGATCTCTCTCGCGGAGGCTCTGACGGGTCACACCGCGCAGCTGACAGCCCTAGACGGGAGAAATTTGAGTGTCTCATGTTGATTCCATTATCAGCCAGACCCATGAAGAAGTGGTTAGAGGGGAGGGGATGCCTATCCAGAAGGAACAATCCAAGAAGGGGAACTTGATTGTCAAGTTTAGCGTCAAGTTCCCCAAGCTCACCCCGGAGCAGAAAACCGGCATCAGAATGTTGCTGACATCTTTGTAAACGCCGGTTGTTAACTCGTAGCAGTCCGTATTATCTTTCTAAGTAGTGTAAGCTTTCCTAGGTGTACTAAGTAGGTGTTTGTTGCGTTTGCTTGTGTAACAAGGAGATTGCTACTCTATCAGCAATGGAAAAAAATCCTTTCATGTATGTATGTTTTCAGTGTGTCTAATTCCTTCATCAATCTAAATATTTTCGATGAAAATACACTTTGTGTCATAATCCAATATCACCAAAGGCAAAAGGCAAATTGTTTTTTGAAAATACTGGTATCATACTTAAAAAAATTTATAATTGTTAAAAACAATCTGGATGAACTTCTCTCAAGAAATTTTTTTTTACAACCCAAAAACTTGTTTGATATCTAACCTGGAAACTATTTTAAATCTTCAAGGATTTAGGCTATATAACCCAAAAACTTGTTTGTACAAAACCACTAGGTGGTAGTGGCTGAGGGAGGATATTAAGGTCGGGTTGGGATCCGAGAAGCGAACCAAAAAATACTCACCAAGACCCAATATCTTGACGATTTGATTTGGAAATCTCAATTTCACACTTCATACTAAGAAGTCATGTTGTCTTCAGATGGGTTTTGTTCACATATATGGTGGTGGGTTGCTAATTTCAAATGTTGCCATTGAAATTGAGCAAATTGAGTTTGAAGTAAAGCTTTGGTAATGGCGGAGAGGTGAGGTTGGGGCTTGCGGGTGATTAGAGTGAGGGGATGGTGGGAAGAAAATATCTCAGTCACCCGAAAGATCCATGTCACGGTCACCAGAACATCTCTCAATCGTCGGAAACATATCTCTCATCACCGTCAGTTACTCTCAGTTGATGTTTGGTGTTTGGTGTCGCTGGCCTCGATGCCAAGGTCTTGCAAATGTCACGAAGAAGAAAAAAAAAAAAATTGTAAAACAAACTTTTGTTGTTCTCAGATTTTAGGTTAGTTTTTGAGTTCAAGTTTTGCAAAACAGGTTTACCAAACAAATTTTTGAATTATAAATTGAGAAACCGTTTTTAAGTTAAAAACTTTTAACTCAAATAGAATACCAAATAAGGTCTAAATTACTTTTCCTCTCTTATCCAAAAAAAAAAAAAGTGAACCCTCGAGGAAGTTGTTTTCATGTGCTCCGAAACCCCTCAACGAAGAGTTCATGAGCAAAAGCAAAAGCAAAAGCCCTCAACTTTTCGTGAAAAGCAGCTGCTCAACCAGTCTTCTGCTACAGTAGCTCAAGCCACTGTACTGGTACCTTGCCTCGGAAGGCTTGCGAAAATACCCTTTTGCCCCTCTGCTTTTGCATATTCCATCCACCACTGTGACCCTGCTCTGTTTTCTTTCGTCTGATCAATAATTGAGCTCGCCATATACATATGGTCGCACTTGAAGATTTAGTCACAGCGCAGAGAGTTTAGACCAACAGAAAATCCAACGGTTTTGATTGACCAGAGAGAAAACTGAGAGAGAGAGAGAGAGCAATGTCCGTCGATTACTACAAGCTTCTTCAAGTTCAACGAAACTCCAGAGACGTGAGGAAAGCGGTCGAGGCCAAGCTCAATCTAATCAACGATGCCTACGAGGTATGTGATCATTCGGATTTCAGTTTTCTTTTTCCTAGTAAGCGATATTCTAGATTACACTTATTTGTTGGCGGCGTAGACCGGCATGGCCCGGCTTACGTCTCAGGTTATGGAGTCCGTGAATCCGGAAGTGATATTCTCGACGTTTTTAGTCGGAGGGACGATAGGGGAAAATGGATTCCAGTGGTTTGAATGCACGGACTCAGGACCTGGAAATGGGCCGAGGAAAGCCGCGGCGATTGAGAGGACATCATTGCCTTGTACTTTGGAGGAACTGTATAAGGGCGCCACCAAGAAGCTGAAGATTTATAGGGATGTTCTTGGTGCTAGTGGGTAAGTCCCTTCTTCCTTTTTTCATGAATGTATATTTTTTGTTTAATTTTGTGCTCTGGGAAGTACTTTTTTGGTGCAGAAGAAAAATCACAGCGGAGGAAGTTCTAACAATTGAGATCAAGCCAGGGTGGAAAAAGGGCACGAAAATCACTTTCCCAGAGAAAGGGCACGACACACGGCGAGGTGTGATACCAGCAGACACTGTCTTCATCGTCGATGAGAAGCCTCACGGTGTTTACAAGAGGGACGGGGACGATCTGATTGTCACTCAGAAGATCTCTCTAGCGGAGACTCTGACGGGTCACACCGCGCAGCTGACAGCCCTGGACGGGAGAAAATTGAGCGTCTCCATTGGTTCCATTATCAGCCAGACCCATGAAGAAGTGGTTATAGGGGAAGGGATGCCTATCCACAAGGAACAATCCAAGAAGGGGAACTTGATTGTTAAGTTTAGCGTCAAGTTCCCCAAGCTCACCCCGGAGCAGAAAACCGGCATCAGAATGTTGCCTTTTATTTTTATTTTATTATTTTTTTTTGAGAAACCTCGACGGTATGAGAGAAAAGCCTCATAATGTTGCTGGCATCTTTGTAAACGCCGGTTGTTGACTCGTAGCAGTTCGTATTATCGTTCTAAGTAGTGTAAGCTTTCCTAGATGTTCTACGTAGGTGTCTGGTGTGTTTGCTTGTGTAACAAGTAGATTGCTGCTCTATCAGCAATTGCAAAAAGTCCTTTCATGTATGTATGTTTTCAGTGTGTCTAATTTCTTCATCAATCTAAGTATTTTCGGATGAAACCTTGTGTGATTGAACGAGAAATAGATGCAGTTGAACCAACGCCGAAACACGATGCAGATGCAATTGATGCAATTTCCTCTTCTACCTAGAAAACAAACGCGCACGGATGGAGAGAAAATTATGACACTGAAACAATGTACATATCCCAAATCAACAAAAAACCTAGTCAAAAGTGACAATGACAGTCTTAACCGGAGCTCAAACCAATTGCTGGAGCTGCTGCCCTGGCGGTTTTCTTTCTGGTTAGACCTAACTTGTTCATCAACTCTCAGCTTGGTTCTCCAGCATTGCACTCATCACGTTCGACATTTCCATCTCCTGCATGTGAAACTGTCTTAACATTTCTATGAGAAGGTTCCTCATATCCTTGTCTACGGACATGCGAAAAGAATGGAGAGTTTCTTGCAGAGAACGTCGAAGAATCTGAAATGCAAAGGAATTTCCCTGCTGTGCATCTTGTTGATGCACATTTTGGAGATGCCAAGTTCCCCCTTCCATTGCTGGAAGACCCCCTCACACCTAATCGTTAAAGGAGTATTTCTGATATCGGCAGTCAACGGTGCAAAATGTAAATGTTGATATCCATTCATATTCATAAAACATATGGACGGATCACAAAAAACCTTGATTAGTTTAACACGTATGGATGACTAAACGATCTTGAAATTGAATAATTTTGTCCAAATATGATCTTTAGATGATGATATTCAGATGGTGATAAAGCGAATAAATAGTATCGATTATGATATTCAGACGGTAAAATTTCGTTAATTGTAAGTAAGGAACAAATAAATTTTCCATAAAAAAACACAAGCATTATCCTTGTTTATTTTTCCTAATAAAGTCCCTTTTGATACATGTGACTATAAAGGAACATAACCGACCAAATCGGTCACTACCAAATTGGTTTAGCTTGTTTGTACTAACTAATTTGAGGTCTAAACCGAACCAAACCGGTTGACAACTCCACCTACTCACCCATACAAAAAAAATCCCAAGAAAATTGGGGCCAAATTGCAAATTAGAACTAGTATAGAGGCATCTATGTGAAATTGATACAATATATGTCCTTGCTAAATTACAATTTCATAGTATTTTAGATTCTCCATAGAAGTCGAAGGGGGAGTGGAATTATCAAGTATCCGCGACCTAAACACACCCTACTCTCTCTGTCTCTCTCTCTCCCCTCGCACGTTTACATGCATCTCTCTCCTCCTCCGATCTGTCTTCATGCTTTTCCCCTTCCCTCTCTCTAATTCGAACTCTTTCCCTGCACTGAAACCCTAACGCTAGATTCCCAATTTCTTCCCCAAAACGTTCCCTTTTAGATCCCATGGAGATGGCCTCGAGTCCGCGAACGGTGGAGGAGATCTTCAAGGATTACAGTGCACGGAGAAACGCCGTTGTCCGCGCTTTAACTGACAGTACTCCAATCTCTCTCTCTCTCTCTCTCTCTTCTCTGTTTCTCTCTCTTAATTTTCTTTCGGGTTTTGGAAATCTCTGACCTTTTCGGTGGTTTTGGTTTCTCGCAGATGTCGATGAATTTTACGGACTCTGTGATCCAGGTAAATGCCTAATTGTAGATCAGACTTCTAATTGCTTGCTTTTGTGAAATTTTAATTGTAATTTTACCCTAAAGTCTCTGGCTTTTGTAATTTTGTATGAAAATATGAATGTATTTCTGTAATTAAATGCTTAATGAATTTTGTAAAAATAATTTGTATATGTTTCCTAGAGACTGAGAATTTGGAAGAAGCTAGGAAAAGGATACATTTGTCTGTTATTTTTTATTCTGCTAAATCTTAATTTTTATTGTAATTGTGTGCTAATTAATTGGATTAATTGTTAAAACTGGAACCTTCTGACCTTAGCTTCATTTAAGTTCACTTTAGGTAAGCTGAAACCAATTTCTAATTTTTTTGTTGACCCAATTCATGGTTTTCTTTGGTTATGAATCTTCGGTTTGGTTTAGAGAAGGAGAATTTGTGTCTGTATGGGCACCCGAATGAAACCTGGGAGGTGACACTTCCGGCGGAAGAAGTCCCACCGGAGCTTCCTGAGCCAGCACTTGGGATCAACTTTGCAAGAGATGGCATGAACCGCAAGGACTGGCTCTCTCTGGTTGCTGTTCACAGTGATTCTTGGCTGCTCTCTGTCGCGTTCTATTTTGGAGCACGTCTTAACCGCAGCGAGAGGTATGAGATATTTTTTTTGGTGTTGCTGCACGTTGGTATAAATAGCTGCTAGTGTTCGTTGTCTTATGTTGTCGATGCATGATTTAAGATGTCTAGATCCTGATTTAAAATTTCTTTTCATATAATACCTGATGCAGAATAGCTACATGAGTGGAGCAATTGGTATAAGCGCTAGCTATCTCCACTAAATTTTGAAATCAGATATTATCTGACAGAAATCCTTTGTAGTTTAGTTTAATAGTCACTTTTCCAGTGTCCTGCTTTGACTATATACCAAACTTGAAACGAACCTAAAAAAGTCCATTATGGCCGTTGAAGAATTTTGAGCACTTGACCCCTTTTTTCTGCAACTTGCACCCAGGCTCCAAGTATAAAATGACTGTATGTTTCAGCTTTTAAATGTCTGTCATTGTTTGGGATTGAGGAACTTTATTGCAGCAAGTTCTTATGCATCTTTGCTTGAGTTCTCGATAGGTTTTATTCATCAGGATTTGCTCTGTATATTTACAGGAAACGCCTATTTAGCTTGATCAATGATCTTCCTACTGTCTTTGAAGTTGTGACGGAACGGAAGCCCGTCAAAGAAAAGCCCAGCGTGGATAGTGGAAGCAAATCTCGAGGCAGCGCAAAGGTCAGATGAATCTTTTCTTGTTTTTTTTTCATCATCTTAGAATCTTAGGCCCTGTTTGGTATCTTATATGAAATTTTTAATCATTTCTCAAAACGTTTGTTAAGAACATTTTTTGAAAAGAATTTTCTTTAAGACTCAAAAACTTGATTGGTTTGCTATTTAAATTTTTTAAATCCTACGACTTAAACTAGACAAAGATATCTAAAAAGAGGGGGTCGCAGGAGAGGGAGAAAGAGGAGAGAGGAGAAAGTAAGAGATGATTGAAGGAAAGAGAAAGAAGAGAGGATCGGATGATATAGAGAGGAAGAAGAGTGAGAGAAAGAACTGAGAGAATGAAGAGAGTGGATTGGAGGAGAGACAAAAAAGGTATTAAAAAAAAAGGAGAGAAAAAGAAGAAAAGAGAGAGAGATTTGGAGTGAGAGAGCAGGAGGGAGAGAAAAGAAATGATTGAGTTTAAGTTTAAAAACTCACTTTTTATGTTTTTAGAGAATAAACTATATTTTTTAGTTAGTCTTGAGTTCAATTTTTGAAAATAATCCTACCAAACAAGTTTTTAAGGTCTAAAACTTGAAAATTGTTTTAGTTAGATTTAAGGAGAGTACCAAACAGATCCTTATATTACTTCTTGTTGTTGAGAATCTTTTGCTTTGATGTACAGTAAATTTCTTTTTCCATCTCAAGAAAAGAAAAGAACAAAAACAGATAAACCACGGATGTCGATGTACTCAAAGATGTCATGTCTTATAATTGCTAGCTTTTCAGTACCGCTAATGTAGGAATTTGGAATATGTGTTTGTTATATAGTAGCCATTAACTCATTCGTCTTCTCTATAGAGATCCGGTGATGGACTAGTGAAAAGCACTCCTAAGCTACCACCTGATGAGAGCTTCGAGGAGGATGATGATGAACATAGCGAAACTCTCTGCGGGAGCTGTGGCGGAAATTACAATGCAGATGAATTTTGGATCGGCTGTGACATCTGTGAGAAATGGTTCCACGGAAAATGTGTTAAGATAACACCTGCTAAGGCCGAGAACATCAAGCAATACAAATGCCCGTCTTGCAGCTTGAAAAGGGGCAGGCAGTAGTGGACACTCAACCCAAACCATCGGACGAGAACAAGGCAGATAGCGTCGTCTCAGTGGCTGACAAAGTAGTATAGGAAATGTCACTACTTAATGTACTGCATTTGTTGTTGTGATGCTTGTTCATAATAGATGCTCTGTTCAAAGGGTTTGGAGCCTTTCTTATTCCCCACCAAACGTTTGCTTCGGCTTTTATATTATTTATCTTGCAGTTATTAATCATGACAAATTGTATGAATTATATTTGAATCTTTCAACCTTATGAAATTAAGATGAGTATAAACCAGGTTTGGCAAATCTGAAATGACTCATTTTTAATGTACATGTGGCATTCTTGGTGCAGGGTGTAAGTTTATATTGAAAGTTGGAATAAGAGAAAGTCATCAATCGAGAAAGCTAGGAGTTAGATATAATCTTGGAGGTATTTTATGTGTACTAAATATTTATCACGTGTAAAGTGCACTGAGGGAGGGAGGGGTTTAGCTTTACAATGGGCTAGTAATAATGTGGTTCAAATTTGTCTTTGGCAAGAATCGAACATAAATCTCTTCCTAACAAATGAAAAGGAATACTATTAGACTGTAATACTAAGTGGCGTCCCCATAGCATTTTTAATTAGTATAGAGTTTCTCCTCATCCCCTTGCCCTCTTGATTTGATTAATTAGTTGGGGTTGACTTACTCAGATGTCTACATGTTTGTTCACAATTTTACTTTTATTCATCGTGACACAATTTTATTTTTGGTTAATTCTACTGAGATCAACTATTTAGATCAAATTTTATAAATTATATGACGTAGTTGTTGATAATTAGATTATTATTTTAGTGTTAATGAACATGCTTATTTTTCATTAGTGACTCCAATCTACGCTATATTAATTTTTATTTAAAACATATATTAAAGAAAATTACAAATATAACAGCTGGGCATATACAATTTCTAGCAGTCTGCATTTTCCTAGTGAATAAGGTTTGAACTTTGACCAAGATAAATTTCACTTCGTACATAACACTGCAAACAAAGAATTTAAGTCGAAACATTTGATTTAGAAAGTTTTAAGACAAAAAACATTAAAGTTTCAAACGTTGTGGACTCTGCTGCGTTTTCGTAGTTTCATCCGACCGTTAGAGGCAGCTTAAGGTATGTATCCAAACGCAGCACTCTCCACTAGTTCACATCGTCGTTTGGTTTTGTCTACAACCGTTGGTGCTTCTTGTACATGTTATTCTTTTTGTTGTAATCGTGTTCCTCCTCTCCGCAAAGCTCGGGAGCAGCTTCTGATCTTTGACGAATTTGAGATGGGTTCAAGCCGATCAGCGAGCTCTGCGGCGAATAAGGAACGCCTGCGATGGACGCAAGAGCTGCATGATAGGTTTGTGGAGGCAGTTACTAAGCTTGGTGGCCCTGATCGTAAGTCTAATTAATCTAGGTTTAGTTCATGCAGTTTATTAACTTAATGTGACATGAATATTGTCCCAGTTACTTGAGAAATACTTCGAGTAATTGAGGATTTAACTCCTCTGATCTCTCTGTATCATGTGATTCGAGAGTGGTTATGTAACGCGAGAGATAGAGAGAGGGGATGAATTCTCGGTGATACGCTCTAATCCCTCAGTTATTAATATGGTGTGCATGGCTTGTTCTATATAGCCGGTGTGTATTTATTTAGGTTTATAATCGCATTGGTTTTATATGGGCAACACCAAAGGGTATCTTGAAGGCCATGGGCGTCTCTGGACTGACCGTCTACCACAACAAAAGCCATTTGCAGGTTCGTTCTCTTTCCCTTTGTCACGCCCCGGTTTTGAGATATGATCAGTTAAGAACAAGGGAAACAACGAGAAAAAGTAAAACTTTGGACTGCACTGCATATTGTATCTGATTTTCGATAATTTTCCAGGAAAAAGTATCTGATTGTTTTTTTTTTCTTTTTATGATTTTCAGAAGTACAGAATCTCGAAGTTCATTCCAGAGTCGACTAGTAGTAAGTTCAATTTTAATCTTCTATTTATTTCCTTTATAAATTTTGGCACATCTGATGGCATCTAATTACCTACTGCTTACTTATCTTGTGGTACTATTGTTTCATTTTCCACAGAAGGCAAGCTTCAGAAGAAAAACATTTCAGAAATGCTGCCTAATTTCGGCCCAACATCGTGAGTAATCATGTTCCCTCTCCCTCGTTTAAGTTAAAAAAAATAACAACCATGTTGTATCAGTTAACTGTTGAATTAGCTTCACTAATAAAATTTTGAACCTACTGTGTGTTTTGAACAATTTCTTGTGCTGTTTAGCTCAATGAAGCCTTCAAAATTATGCAGATACAAGTAAACAGGAGACTCAGTGATCAACATGAGGTATATAAATAAATTATTTATCCAAATCACAATCTGCAAAATTTCTACCTCCATATAAATTGACAGGCTATATATGTAACGGATGTCCGTTTTAACAAAGAATATACGTTATGTGTGTCCATATTCTTGTCACAAACAAAACTTACTGACATGTTATGTCAAAGAGGTTTCTGTCATATGAGTACCGAAAAACACAGTCACGGTCACCAAAAATTACTAATAAGATTATTTTTGTGGGTTTATTTTTAAGGTGCAAAAGAGCCTGAAACAGAAATTTGAAGCCCAAGGAAGGTTTCTTGAAAGATATTCAGCAGAACGCCATAACACAAACAAGAACCGGCCGATCCTGATCACAAAACCTAAAAAAGCTCCCTTGTCGCAGACGTCGCTGCCTTCTCTCTGTGACGACTCAGAATCAAATGCAAAGGACTTTGCATCCGACTCGGAGCCTGGCAGAAGTGAAACACAGTCTATCTGCAGAACAATTCCAAGCTCTGAAGAAGAAGCTCAGGCTTCACCATCACCAAAATGACCATAATGTCCAGCTTGCACTTAACTCAGAGTTCTGCTATATCCCTCATGAGGACGACCATATCAGCTTTCCTTGGAACTTTGCAGCCTGCTCATCTCCTTTACCTTTAGTAGTGCCCAGCTGCTTTCTGTAAATTAAAATTTGATGAGTGCCATATATATATGTGTGTGTGTGTGTATTTGTATAAGAAATGGGATATTTTGATTTTGATGCTTCCATTTGCTTTGCTTGGAAGTTTGTGGAAGCAATCAAAATATCCATCATAGTATATACATAGAGATTAGTAGTTGAAGATATTTCTTAATAGGCTTTTTAGACAAAATGGTCACTGAGATTTGCATAACACATCACTTTGGTCTCTGAGATTTCAAATGAATAGAAGTGGTTTCTGAGATTGTCCACCATCCATCATTTTGGTCCTTCTATTAAAAATTTCATTAAGTGTCCCGGAGCTCTTGACCGGAAGTTTGAGCAATTTTCAAAGCTTCGTAACTCAATCGTTTCTAAACCAAATTCGACCCATAATATATTAAAATGAAGATAGGAAAGTGTAGAATAAGATTATACCTATTTGGAAGCCCAATGGTTGTCAGCGATGGCCGGAAAATAGCCTCCAAGTTGACTAGTCCGAGGGAAAACTGGAAAACTCGCCGGAAACTGGGTAAACTTTAAACATTCATAACTTCTTCCTCAACGAAATCAAGTGATTCAAAAACGAAAATCATACTTATCAATAAGAAGAAGAGAATGGTACCTTTTTCAACGCTAAATAGCCGTGGTTTGGCCAGAAAACGGCACGAAAATGGCGATCTTGGTCTCGAGTTAGCTACTTTCGAGCCATTTTTCGGCTAAAAAACGGCGAGTTAGCCATCAAAGAAGGTACCATTATCTTCTTCTTATTGATAAGTATGATTTTCGTTTTTGAATCACTTGATTTCGTTGAGTATTGAAGAAGTTATGAATGTTTAAAGTTTACCCAGTTTCCGGCGAGTTTTCCAGTTTTCCCTCGGACTAGTCAACTTGGAGGCTATTTTCCGTCCATCGCTGACAACCATTGGGCTTCCAAATAGGTATAATCTTATTCTACACTTTCCTATCTTCATTTTGATATATTATGGGTCGAATTTGGTTAAGAAACGATTGAGTTATGAAGCTTTGAAAATTACCCAAACTTCCGGCTAAGAGCTCTAGGACACTTAACAGAGTTTTTAATGGAAGGATCAAAATGATGGATGGTGGACAATCTTAGGGACCAATGTGATGTGTTATGCAAATCTCAGAGACCATTTTGGCTAAAAAAACCTTCCTAATAAGATCTTGGCAGCACTTTCTCTATCGCCAAATACGTGTATAAATATTTGGGATAAACTTACACTACTACGTGATACATATGGTATTGTACTCTTTTGTTTGGAACTAAAACATGACAACCAAGTCTTGGCACCAAAGGCATGCAGACATCTTCATTGACTGAGTTCAAACACCATGAAACTTATGCTTATTTCTGGTCCTCATTTTCTTTTTCTTTTTCTTTTTAACAAAACCAAGTCTTCGAGATTTTATCAAAAGAATTGGACCACTATGCGAATTACGAAGTCTCCAGACTCGTGATCAGTTTGAGTCGGCAAAGAGAGGACGTACGCTTAACTTAGGTATATTGAAGATTAAGGGTGATTTGCGTAGGCAGATTTGTACCTTACAGTGATTGCAATGGGATATTTCCACATCATGCACGATTTTAATCAATTTGTTCTTTCATTGGAGAAGCTTTTGGTTGTCATCGTCAAACTAGTATATGGTAGAATCCATGCCGGAGTAGCAATTGTGCATATTTGCTTGGATATTTAGTGGTGAGCTAGGCTGTTGCCGCGCCGATTTTTAACCAGATCGGATTTGTGCTAGATTCATGCCAGAGTAAGTCATTGTTAGTGGGTACTCGTTAAGAACAATTTAGTTTAATTTCACTTACACTATTGTCATCACTACCAATATTGCCCTTATATTATGGTAATATCAAATTAAACTGGTCTAAACAGGTATTCATAAATAACCCAGTAAATTGATTTACCAGCATAAATAAAAATTACAAGATTATTCTAGTGCAACAACACGACCATATATAATATTCAAAGGCATGGAGACTAATACTATTCATATGATTTTAAAGATTCAATTTGTGCCTTTCCATTAGGCCCCTTCGTCCTAATGTAAAGCCGATACTCATCAAATGTCATAGGCGAGTAAAGGGCAGGTCGATCATTTGTGACAAGAGCTTTGACGGGTTAAAAATCAAATCACTCTTTGGGTTGTAAAACAAGGCCAATGAAACTCTGTCTTTAACTGAATTCACAATCACTCTATGCTCTACACTTATGTAAATTGCATTGCTCAACACCTGAGTTTGATCTCCGACGTTCATGATGAAGGCAGT